TATGGTTGCTTTCAAGGGGCGAAGTTCTCTCAAACAATATATGCCGAAAAAAGCCCATAAAAAGAGGCTTTAAAGTTTGGGTCGTTGCATGCTCCGAAACTGGATACGTGCACAAATTTAGCATATATGATGGCAAATCTCAATCACAACATGCTGAATATGGTTTAGGCGCTAAAACGGTATTAGACATTGCCGAGTCTCTTAGAGGCGCAAACTACTGCATTTATTTCGATAATTTTTTCTCGAGTTTTCCTCTTCTTAAGAAAATGTTAACCTATGATTTGTTCTGCTGTGGAACTTTTAGAATAAATCGTAAAGGCTTTTCAACACAAATGAGAAAGGACAAAACAATGAAAATGAGAGAACACGATTATTTCATGTCCGATGATATGTCTGTTGTTAAATGGAAAGATCGGGGGCGCAAATGCGTTTTAGTCGGCAGTACTATGCATAATCCACTTGAGATTACTTCAGTTTTGCGAAGAAAACCGAATAGTGAACAAGAAAGTGTTAAGTGTCCAAAAGCCATAAGTGATTACAATCGCTATATGGGTGGAGTCGATCTATTCGATCAACTTCATGCTTCTTATCCAATTTCATGGAAATCCCGAAGACGGTATATGAAGATTATTTACTATTTGATTGATGCAGCAGTGGTAAATTCATATATAACTTATAAGACTACAATGAAAATGAGGTCCATTAAATCGAAACCAATGAGTCACCTGTATTTTAGAAGTGTATTGGCCAATGAGTTCATAGGTGATTTCTATAACAGAAAGAGACCAGGACCCAAGGTAACAATAGGAAGAAATAAACTGAAGAAAATGGGAGCAACCACTAATTCTGTTAGCGTTGAAAGCACGGTGAGACTAAGCGATGTTGGCAATCACATGCCAGAAAAAGGAACATCAAGACGTTGTGCACTCTGTTCAACAAGAGCAAAGCCAAAACGTTCAAGTATTAAATGCTCAGATTGCCAGGTTGCATTATGTATTCAATGTTTTCCATTATTTCATAATAAAAATGTTTAATTAATGTGTTTTTTTCTGTGGTCGATTATGGAACCACAACTACATTTACCAAAGTGAACATACCTAATCAGACTGTGGTCGAAATTTCAACCACCTAAAAAAAAAAAAAGGAGTGAAAATAAAATGAAAATACGAATGAAAGTTTAATAACGGATCATTCCTTATCTATAATCTGCAAAGAATTTGTTTATATTACCAAAAAATAATTCTGCCCTATAAAGGGTTAAAAAGATTCGTAAGATTGTACGAAAAGGCTTCAATCCATCAATAATGATTAATATAAAATATAAACTATACAAGTTTTTACAAAGTTGATTATAATTTAGAATTTTTCTTGAAGTATCACTTATGTTTGATTATACAATTTCGTTTTCTTTAAAAACCTAATGATTTTGTCACAATCGGCACTGTCTAAAGCGCACTTTAAATCACTTGGTAGTCCAATACCTTGTCTTTCCATTTGATATAATGGACAGTTTATTATTATGGACAGATTAATATTATTAAATACTAACCAAGTCATACCTTATACAGATAATGATTAGCTGGACATTAAAAGATCTAGAAAAGATTTATACATAGGTGGAAGAAGCAGCACATACATACTATGGATCTAAAAGTAACTTAAAAAGGATAGATGATAAGAGAAATACAAAAAGAGTACTTAGGAAAGAATTAAACGGGAAGAGATAAGAAGAACAACTAAAGTAAAGAAAAACATGGTCATCTATAGTCAAAGAAGCAAAGTATACATGACACTGAAATGATCTTTTAAAAGAAGACAAACTAGGAAGTAATGATTTTAGATATAAAACGATGGACTTTTGGAGGTTATGCGTGTGACTGGTCTGCACATGATGTCAAACTTTCTGAGCCTAGAAACCCCAACAGGCGACCATGCCCTCCATACGCTGTCAGTGATCAAAGATGATGATAAATACGGGTATTTAGTCTTCCTTCCTACTACTACTACGAACTATATAATAATATAATAAGACAAGTGAATTTATTGAGCCCCATGCTTTTCAATTTATCAAGGATAAAATGATCAAAAGCGTTAATACAGGAAGATAGTCTGCAAAAACTGGTCCATAGATTTAACATAAGAGCAAAAGAATTTAATATGACAATGTCTCATTTCAGAAAACTAAAACAATAGTAGTCAGCAAAGGCAATAACAAGTTAGTTTTGAAATTTTTAAACAATCTAAATATTTACAGAGCACTAGTAGTTCACTATAGAATATTATATACCTGGAAGTTACCAGCAGATCAAGAAGAGAGAATTGTAAGAAACCAAATAGACTATGTATTCGTTAGACAAAGATACAGGAACGCAATTATATCCGCAAAAACCTATCGAAGTGCCGACATAGGATCAGATCTCAACCCAATAGTAATCAATACTAACGACAAATTAAAGAGATGGACAGAACTGAGCAGATGGAGGTAGAAGTAGAAGAGGATATGGTTTTAAATATATTTAAAGAGGAAATTAAAATGGCAATAAAAAACAGCAAAAATGGTAAAGCAGTAGGTCCAGACCAAATCCCTAGAGAAACCTTAAAGTGCATAAATGATAAAACCTTAATTATAGTAAAATTATTTAAGTCAATATACAAAACAGGACACATACCGAAACAATGGTTAGTCTCCACCTTTTCTGCTACCCCTAAAAATACAAACACTAAATATTGCAGTGAATACAGAACAATATCACTAATAAGTCACATTCTCAAATTATTCTTGAAAATAATACATGGTCGTATAAATCAAGAAAACTGGAAGAAGGAATAGATGATAGTCAGTTTGGGTTCAGAAATGGACTAAGTAGGAACCAGAGAAGCGTTATTTGCTTTTAATGTTTTAGCTCAAAGATGCATAGATATGAATGTTGATGTGCATGTTTGTTACGTTGATTTTGAAAAAGCATGTGACAAAGTAAGACATGAAAAAATAGTCCACATTCTAAAGACAAAAAACATAGACCATAGGTACTTACGAATAATAACTCTACTGAAATCAAAGAGCACAAATCGTAATATATAATGAACCCAGTTCAGAAATTGAAATCAGGAGAGGAGTTAGGCAGGGATGTATTATGTACCCATTACTATTTAATGTATATAGTGAAGCCGTTTTTGAAGAAGCACTTCTATCTCAAAGTGAAGGAATAATAATTAACGAAAGATCTATTAACAACATAAGATATGCAGATGACACCGTGATTATGGCAAGCTCTGCTGAACAACTCAAATTACTGCTAAACAAAACAAACAGTATCTGTGAAAATATAGACTAAAAATGAATATAAAAAAGACCAAATACATGATAATAACAAAGAAAACAAATATACCAATAAACATACATTTAGGAGATATACCGATAGAAAGGGTTGATAAATACAAATATCTAGGAACCTGGATTTCAGAAAATAATGATCAAACAACCGAAATAAGATCCAGGATAGAAATAGCAAGAAATGTGTTTGTAAAAATGAAAACAATTCTGTGCAATAAAGACCTTAGATTAGAACTTAGAGTAAGAGCACTGAGATGCTACGTGTTTTAATACTGCAATATGGACTTAAAAAGCTGGACGACATCGAAGCAAGAACACATAAATAAGTTAGAGTTGAAATATGGTGGTACATGAGGATGCTTAAAATAGCATGGACACAGTAGTATTGCGAGAAATGGGCAAAGAATGCGAAATAATAAACACAATAAAAATAAGAAAGTTACAATATCTGGGAACGTAATAAGGGGATAGCGATAAGAACTGCTAAGGCTGATAATACAGAGAAAGATAAGAGGAGGAAGGAGTATAGGAAGAAGGAGAGTGTCAATGGTTGAAGAATTTAAGGGACTGGTTTACATGCAGTTCTGTAGAACTGTTCAGAGCAGCAGTAGATAAAATAAAGATACAAATATAGTGATCATGATATCCAACCTCTGATTGGGAGACGGCACTTAAAGAAGAAGTAGTTCACTAGACAACTAAATATATTTGCAATATTTGTGTGAATTCGATCTTAGAAAATAAAGGCCCATGTGGATTCTAGATGGTTGGAAAATGTGTTTTGTTCTTATAATTAAAAAACCATTTTTGTTATTAATCTTAATTTTTTCTATTGTTGGATATGCGTAACTGTTTATTGTTTGGCAAATTGTATTATAAAGATTAAAACAAATAATTCCTACAGTTTCATTGAAGCAAGTCATGCTACCCTATGATAAAAACCGTAGGCGAGATTGGTACATATTGAAAGAAAATATGTTTGACTTCTCGAGTGTATTATCTGGAAAAGCATTACCTTATCCTTACGAAACAACAAAATAGGTGCGTTTAATAAGTTAAGAAATTAAAAACCTGTATCCAAATGGCACTTTTGCCGATGGAGAATATCATAATTGGTAATTTTGCCCCGACCGTACGCCTTTGGTGACAGCGAGAAATTGTTTACTCTGATTTTAAACGATAGGTATATTTGAATCTACTGGAAAATATGAAATATGCTCCTAAAAACTCGACACGGGCTGTTTTCCTTTCTAAAATAACCAAAATGGTTTTATTTTGCTAGAAACTGCGTTTTTTGGCAACTATCTATACATCCAGCGATATGTAAATAAGTTTAGTAGATACCATTGTTTGCACAACTTCATCTTTTCAAATTAAATATCCATCGTTATGTATTTATATATTCACAAACTGACAGTAACAGTGAAATAGCTGTAAATATGTTTTAGTATATCTATTTTTAATCTATTCTAGCCTTGAAAAAACCTGTAGGATGCAGAGATACCTGTTTCAATTAATACTTTGTTCACAGTTACCAAGAACATACGTTTATTCTACCAAGGAGGACATGCTTAAGAAAGAAAATATCATATTCTGCCGTAACTGTAACAGTCCACAGTACCGAACATAAATACATGAAATATTTTATTTTTATATTTGTAATTACCTTGAATAACATCTCGCAGTGACCTCCTTAAGCTCAAGACTTGAACCCTCTTGATCCCTCGTCTCACCAGAGATGGAAATAAAGACGGATTCGCTCCCCTACGTAAATGTAACTTAGCCTCCACTCCTCTCCAGACCGATTTGTGGTAAGCAGCATCCCTCCATGTAGTACACACTTGAGCTACTCTTCCCTTGTCTCGTACGTCCAAATAGCTGAAGATAATAGCTAAGATCTCGGGATAAAGACAGGAAATGTGCGTCTTTCCAGAGTCGAGTTCCGTTTGTTCTTCCTCGTAGGTCCGTTGTTGGACAAACTCTTGAATGTGAAACCTATGAGGGAGATGGTACGGTTGGTACCTGGTGTGGTGCCGAAGAAACGCGGCTGTCGACAGTAAGGGCACTGGTAACTCTGTAAACAACACTTGTGTCGGGTCTTCCATCATGGTTATGACGAAATTTAAACCGAACTACACCGCACAATATCACGATTTCACGTGAGAAGTGTCATACTAACTGACGCGAACTCACTACCTCGAAGTCTCGATTGGAACTGGTTTCGTTTGACGAGAACCGCACGCTAGATACCAGTCCGAAGTCGGGATGAATTGTGGCGTCATTGGCTGGCGTGCGCACCACGTGATAGAGAGGTTTCTGTAGTAGGAGGGAATTCGCCGTGGAAGGGTAGCGTATCCGTTGGTGTTCATTTTTTAAATAATAAACTCTTTTCTTAAACAATATTAAAATGAGTGCTGTAGTATTAAAGACATAAACTTAAAATTTAATAACGATATTTTGAGAAATTTTGATAATTAATAAATACAGTTTCTACATAAATAACATTGTTTTCAAACAGTATACACAGGACCGGAGCCAGATGTACAAGGGGGTAAGTGATTTCAGAGGGCGGCAAAATTTGCATCTATAATGCGTTGGTAAATTATCTTAAGACTAGATGTCTGTCTTTTGCGGCATGCAAAAGATCGCCAGTGTTATTTATGCCTGTCCAGTTTTTTATGTTCCGTAGCCACGACATTTGTTTGCGACCTACTCCCTCTTGCCTTCAATCTTTCCCTGGATGATTAGTTGAGGGATTGCGTATTTTTTTCCTCCTAATAATGGCTCAAAATTATGACGAATGCACGAAAATTTATTGAAAAGTATGATATATGAATTTTAGAAGTAAATAAAACGAAAACCGAATACCTGTGCATTGGAGTAGAACAAAACATCTCATATTAAGCGATAACACCACGATAAAGCACTGCTGTGACTACAAATATCTAGGTATCACTATTTCACAAGATGGAATATTAGACAAAGCCATAAGAGAGAAATACGTCAGGGAGAAAAGCCATCACAATGTTAAACAGCATGTTAAAAGCGTGGAGGTAAAATTGTTATTTTGTCGTCCTATGGAAGACCATACTACAGGGAAAGACATATATTGTAAAGTATTCTAAAGTTGACAAATTTTTAAAAGCAGAAGGTTTAGAATGGAAAAAATTGCTTATGCATATAGAATTGCACATGGCGCAAGACCGATGACGGGCAAAAATACTGGTTTTAAATCATTTTTGCAAGCTGTTTATTATGATCATATAACTTTTACTCACTGCCTTTAAGATCATAAATTTTATTAAGAGTTATGCCCTTAACAGACGCTTATTTCCGAATCTCTGTAAGAATACGGATTCTTACTATACAGTGTAGGAAAAATTTTATGGTCGGTATGGACCTTACGTGAGATGGAGTGAGAAACAGCTGTTTAAAAAGAGAGAGGTATATTAGGTACGCCCTTTATATCGCCGAATGGAAATATTAAAAAAGGGGAAATTCAACGTTGCCAAACTTATTGGTTTTATTTGACCTGTTGTCTTTTTTTGCATTTGAACAATGTTCTATCAAGAAGATAAAATGCTCAAGATAATAAAATTTGGGCGAAATTGATTTAAATGGCAGGTTACTGTTTTTTTTATTGGGAATATGCCACAAGTTTTCTTTACAATAATTGTAATATAACATTTTGATTTCCATTTCGGAAATTGTTTTATATAAATAAAATTTATTAATGTTTCGTATTTTAAGTACGATTTCCGAACTAAAAATCTAAACATCAAAATAATTTCCCAATTAAATAATAAACAATTAAACATGCATACAATAACGCCAAATTAAAAAATATTCATACACTAATTTATTTGGCAACGTCTAGTCTAGATAGTTGTCTGGTCAAAAGATCGAGGAACGAGAAGTAGAGGTGGGTCGTGCTAGTTTATCGTTAAGAGCGTAGGAGCAAAATTTCGGGCCAATATGCATTCATTTTTTTCGAATCCTGAGAAAACTAATAAATATTTTTGAAAAAATTAAACGCAGAATGAAACAATACATTATTACCGAGAGCTGAAAGTCCCTGAAAACTTCTATAATGTTTATTTTAATAAGTTATAGGGATGAAAAAAAAAAAAACAAAATTTAGTGTGATTTTTAATTTCAAATATCTCATTAAAAAAACTTTTTGTTTATTCTAAGGGACCTTCGGCCCTCGGTAATAATGTAATCTTTCATTCTGCATTTAAATTTTTCAAAAATATTTGTTAGTTTTCTCAGGATTCCAAAAAAATTTAAATTTTTTTGAATGCTAAAAAGCATTTAAAAATTTTAATTTTCATAAACAAGTAACTATGATTGTTTAAAAGTAGTTTCAAGTAAGATAGTATCTACATAAACAAACATAACGGCTATTATCGTTTATGTGTATATCTTTTGAAGTGAAAGAAACTACCTAATGATATATTTATTATAACTTGAAAAATAAACTAAACAATCATCATCATCATATAACGGGGGTCCTACGGCGATTGCCGCTTCCCGCATTTCAGCCTCCATCTTTTCCTATCTCCCCAATCTCCCTCTTCTAAGCCTCTAGATTGCATTGTTTTTGTAATTTCTCTTCTCCAGGAATTTGGTGGTCTTCCCCTTTTCCTTCTTTCTGGCGGAACATACATTAAGGCTTTCTTTGGCCACCGCTCCTCCTCCATTCTCATCACGTGACCATACCATTGTAATTGCCTTCCTTGTATTCTATCTGAAAGAGTATCTCTAATTCCTGTACGGTTTCGTATTTCCTCATTCCTGATTCTTTCCATTCTCGATACTCGACATGACCTTCTAAGATAATCCATTTCCACAACGTCTACTTTATCTCGTTCATTCTTTGTCATCGTCCAACATTCGGCACCATATGTGGTAATTGGTTCTACAATTGCTCTGTATACGCGAAGTTTGGTATGCATCTTTATTTTATTAGACCACAGTAATGAATTCAGTATTCGGATGCATTTTTTCCCTTGGGTTATTCGGTTTTGTACATCTATCTTAACTCTGCCATCTGCTGATATAATGCTTCCTAGATATTTATACTGGTTGCAGCCTTTTATGACTGCGTTTTCAAGCCTCAGATCTGTGGTATTTCCTCCAATTTTTAAATATTCCGTTTTAAATATTCTGTTCTAAACTAAACAATACAAATAGTAAATCGGACTTACATTTACATTACACGTTATTATTAAATCGCGAATAGTCTAAATTGACATAAAAACATAAGTTTTTCTACTTTACTTCTTGTTAACCGTATTCTTTTTTATTTAAAATTAAACCAGATTTTGAACATGTGTTCACATTTACAATACTTTATGAATATAGTGTTTAAGTTAGGATATACATGGCGATGGTTTTTCCACAGTTGTAATGGACTCTCGATGCAGGTGTACGTGTAGATGAGTCATCTCCAATTAATTGATCAAAAATACACCATGGACTTAAGTCATATTTATTGGTTTCTTTTTCTTGTACTGGTTGATTTTCAATAGTACAATCTTCTTGTTCGTTAATTATAGAAGTAACCAGCTTCTTAACTTTTTGTTTTGTTCTGCACTTTAAATCGTGAATCCATAGATGTACATAATGACAATGTGCCACTCTGTTCTATCCCTCTAAATCTTTTTGCTAAACCCGATATTATTATTTGTAATAATATCGGGTAAATTTGTAATAATCGGTAAATTTGTAATAATTGTACTATGTCGGATACTATGGATGTAAGTATGCCGTTTGCTAAAATTTTATTGCAAGATTCTTACAGGCAGCGTACCATAACAATCACTGAACTAGCATTCAAGTATTTTTGGTCACTCATTGTACTTGTTATTTCTTTAAACGGCCGTAAAATTTGGGAAAGTTGAGAACAAATAATCCAGTGTTCTTTATTTAGATTAGGTTTAAGTCTAAGTCTGTATTATTTAATACCAATGTGGAACGGGTTGCCTCTTCTAACTCGGTCATTCTTTTTAACATGTAATAGGTGAAGTTCTACCTAGTTTCCACGTCTTGGATTGGCCGTTTGGGAACTGTGTTCTGTTGTAATTAATACTTTAAAAGCCTTTCTGAAGATAAGGTACTTTTTTGAAATGTGTTTTTTTGCAGAATTGTCGAAAAAAGGACTTTTTATTTTATCTATTTGTACACGACAGCATTTAAGTGCGTCCCCCACCAATAAATTTAATCATCATCATAAATCACAATCATCATAAAACAAAACATATTTAATAGCTTTGACCATATTTTAGGAATTATCAGTTACTGCAAAATTTACTTTTCGTTTTAGACCCGACTGATTAATAATTTCAGTAATCGCTGTTTTCTGGATTATGGTTTCCAGAAAAATGGCAGCAGCCTAATAAAAAAGTTTTGAATACTAAATTTTCGGTTAAATATTGTCCTGTTAATGCGAAGTAACTCTCAGTTACTCCAGATGTCCAGAGGTCAGTAGTAATACAGATATTTTCTACTTCTTTAACAACTTGCGATCTAATAATTTGCTCACTTTTGACATAACATTCCTGAAGTAATGAACCTGACAAAGTTTTTCTTGTTGGCGGTTTATATCCAGGAATCCACCCTGCAAACTTTTTAAAAGCTGGTTCTTTAACTATGGAAAACGGATGAAACGAAAAGTTTAGTAAATCTTGAAAATCAATCAGTCCAAGAAAAAGAAACTGATAAAGATGACTTAAGTCCATGGTGTATTTTTGATGAATTAATTGGACATGACTCATCTAAACATACACCTGTATCGAGAGGTATAAAAGAAGTCGACATGTCTGATTGATATAGACAATTGTCTGATGATATATTACTCACAAACAATTTCGAACGGAGATTGGAACTGTCCATTACCGTGGTGAAAAAACCATCGCCATGTATATCGTAACTTAACCACTATATTCATAAAATGTTGTAGTATTGTAACAAAATCTTTTCCTTATGGTGGAAAGTAGAAAAACTTATGTTTTTAAATGTCAATTTAGACGATTCGCGATTTAATAATGTGTAATGTAAATGTAACTATTTAAGTACCATTTGTATTATTTAATTTATTTTTCAAGTTACAATAAATATATCCTTCGTTAGGTTCTTTTATTTCAATACTTATACACATAAACGATAATAGCTAATATGTTTGTGTACTCGCTAATTTGAATACTGGTAAACAATCAA